CCTTTGATTCCCTTTGCGATTCACACATTCCCACTTAAATCATCGCTGTTACGATAAGTTTGGTTGCATTGTTGTTGTATGTGTGTGATGATTGAATTATTGTATGCTGTGTGATGTTTGGCTTGATTGCCTTACTGCCTGTACCATTCCTGCTTGGGCTCCATGCCTGCAGTATCTTGTAAATATAATAAATTAAGTAAATAAAAATAAATATGGTATTTCTTGACATGAATTGATGACAAATGTAAATGGCAGGTCCTACATGATAATGATGATATACGTGTCATCTAAAACATTGATGAAGTTTATGTAGGATTTACCGTCCCAAAACTACCATATGATCATGAGAGAGCCGTGGTGGAGGGCTCCCAAAATTTCGACCACTTGGGGTTTTTAAACATTCACACAAATCAGAGCACCTGAGCCTACAACATTTTCGCCTCCATCAAAAATGTAGCCGCTGCAGCCAGGATTCGTTTCCGCGACCTGCGTGTCAGCAGCCCAGTACCTTATCCACTAACCCATCTCGGTGGGGATTCATGTAAAACATGACTACATGCTACGCTCATGGCACGCTCGCAGCCATTTCGCTAGCTTCACATACAGCGAATTCGGTAATAAGTGACGTGATTAGAAGACGAAGGTAAATGACGCGTCCAAACATGATCACTGGAACATGCATATCGTGAAAAACATGACTACATTCTATGCTCATAGCGCGCTCACGATTGATTCGCTAGCTTCACATATACCAAATTAGAGATTCCGTAACGTGAATGGAACACGTACATAAATTACAGCTTCAAATATGATAATCACGGCATGCGTGTCATGCAAGAACATGACTAGATGCCACGGTCGTGACGCGCTCGCGTCTGTTTCGCTAGTTTCACATATACCGAGTTTGGTAATACGTGACGCGAATGAACGATGAAGCTAAATGACACGTTCAAACATTATAATCATCACACACGTGTCATGTAAAACATGACTCCATGCTACACTCATAGTGCAATCACGGCCGTTACGCTAGCTTCACATATAGGAAATTCGGTATTACGAGACCTGTATAGACGACCAAGGTTAATGAATCGTTCAAACATGATGGTCATGACATGCGGGTCCCTTGAAACATGACTACATGCTTCGCTCATAGAGGGCTCGCGGCCATTCGCGAGCTTTACATATACCAAACTTGGGATTAGGTGACTTGAATCGACGGCGAACACAAACTCCAGGCACAAACATGTTGATCACGATATTTATTTCATGTATGTAACAACACATCAGCTTTCCTCATTCATACTTCTCAATTACCACTGTATGTGGGATCGGCCAAATATTTTCCCTGATGCCTTCCACACTGCATTCTACTCAATTATTTGTCTGTGGCTGCTAGGCACGATGGTCCGGATGCTGCAGAGCTTTTTTGCGCACCATTCGTCTACGGCATCCATCCTATGCCAGCACACAGCATACACCATATCCCTCCATGTTCCAGGAACATAAATACGATGGATGGTGGAATAGGCCATGCCATAAAAACAACGTAGGCTGCTTAATATATATTTCAGAACAGCCACGCAGCTTCACGTGAGTATTGGTTATATAGTTAACATATGGGTGAACAGCTTTCGTGAAGCATTGCGATATTGGTTTTTGGTGACAAGAATTTTGAATGTTTCGTAAAGGTTTGCATGCACCTCGGGTGAACACGGTTCTCTGATCAAAAATAATCGCATGCGTACTTCCTATATGCAGTGCGTTACAGATAGTAGACCTAGTGGAGGAATCTTGAAACTCAATTTTCGCTAAACAAAGGTATGACGTGATTATTCTCGTGTTTGTACCCGCTAAAACCATAGTGTATTTACGAGGCATGTCGTGATGGAAAGTTTCGAAACTTTTGACCCATATTGTGTTGTTTGACTTGGAACTAATTTTGCACGGAGTGACGTGTATTATTTCAACTGCTTAGAATGTTGACCACATAGACGATAATTACTTGGCTCAAGAATAACACAGCACCAAAGGAAGGAACACAAGGGATGAGCACTCCAATTGCCCTGGCTTGGTCAAACGCGTTCTTTTGGGCCAGCGGTGGGGCACCTTATCACCTAGGTGGCTAATAGAGTAAAGCTAAAGGTTACCTCTATCTGCAGAGCACAACTGAAATCAATCACACAGCGATTGAGCCGACGGAGTCCCCTAACATGTGATGATACTTCGATGCTGTCATTGAATCACCTTTTGTATTTCTATGAGTACCAACAAATTTGTGAATAAGGTGAAAAGAAAGAAATTGCGAACGAATAAGACCACAATGCTAGTAACCTGCCCAATTATGATACCCATCACGTACTAGCCACCCTTCAGCCTCACAGAAATGTTTAAAGGAATGACCGTTGTTTGACTAAAAAGACCGAAGACTTATCTCGACAAACTATGCATACATGTTTTCGTGTACAGCAACATAAAAAATTCACGCATGGCCAGTGGAATGCAGATAACTGCACCAGACTGTTTATTAGCGGTCTCGAAACACGTCCTAGTATCAAAAAACAAAAAAGGTAAGCAGAACGCTTCAGTGCGTTTGAAAAACTTTCGTCCCGGTATTCATCATCTTCTCATCGCACTTTTCATTCTGCCAACCCCTAAGCCAAGCTATCCGTTGGCGGGCAGATAGTGGAAAGATGACTCTCTAGCAGTCCGACTACCCATTCTTGCGCTAAACTCGTTCATCATGCCTTTAAACGCTCAAACTGCACTTATGATTTTACTGTAGACAGTGGCTCTCAGTGAAACGTTTTTCATTCAAGGATTTTGGTGTCCTCTTTGGTGTCATATGTTTTCCAACCCACGCTCGGTCGTTCCTTTGAGCCATCATTTTACGCGCGTCTTTATCTTAATTTTATGAAAAAAACTTTCTAGAAAATCCTAGACACGTCCACGCTTCAATCGTTTTAAAGCCCTTGCACTGCAAGTAAAAGTTCTTAGTTTTTATATTTCATCTATCTTATTTAAAGGTTTGATTCACAGCGTCTTATTGTAGCACTGCGAGGATTTACACTTGTGAAAGTCATCGCTTACTCTTTTTGCAAATCAGGAGCTATAGCTGTCAACGTCTCCATAAAGCTGCCAGTCTTATGATCTCGCGGGCACATATTTGCACCACCCCGCCAAAATAGTGAGTTATGCAAACTAAAAAAAACAACATCATGGTGGTTGTATACTATCTGTCCAGCAAAAATAATAGGGCACCTCCTTGAAGCGTTTTACCGAATTACGTAGTACGACAGCCTATTTATTAGGAGAATAAACTTTTCAGTCGAAGCTTCTCGTAGTTTCCAGCGCTGTTCAAAGATGACGAGAATAATGGGCAATACGGTTAGCAGTAATAAATATTTTGCTGACTGTTAGATATGCTATCCTGCAAGGAGTTTTGTTATAAAGTTTCGCACTGTGCAAATAGTACGCTCCTTTTATTTCTCGAACGCATACGTTTCAAACGACCAGCCCGTTAATTTCGCGCGAGTGACCCATTCGCGACTGTCTGCATCCAATATTTTGAATGACTTTTTCACTGCTTGTGACTTGGAACACATTTACTAAGCATATTCAAGGCATTATTGGCTGTCTATCGTTATCCCTTAAGAGGAAAGTATATAACAGCCACTTCTCACCGGTACTTACCTACGAAGCAGCAACCTGGAGGCTCACAAAGAGTGTTCCCTATAAATTGAGGACGACGCAGCAAGACATAGAAATGACAATGATAGGTGTAAACTTATCAGACAAAAGGCAAAGTTGATCAGGGATCCGAATGGGGTTAGAGATGTCAAAGGTGAAATCAACAACAAATGGAGATCGCCCGGGTACGTAACGTAATGGCAGGATAGCTGCTGGTCATCACAAGCCTAGCTGTCTGGCGTCTTAGACAAGGCAAACGTGCGAGTGGAATACACATATTTAGGTGGGCAGATGAGATCACCAAGTTAGCGGGTACGACGTGGCAGCAGTAAGCACAGAGCCTGGTTTTGACGGAAAGAGGCAGTGGCAATCACCCTGCAGTACCTGTAGTTAGGCTGATAATGATGAGAATCATGATGATGACGACGGTTTTTGACGATTTCAAATAGCGCTGACCTTATTTTCTCGATAAATAACAACTTCTTCGGACAAGCGATCACAAACATGACTGCTCTAAAGCAGATTTTTTTGTGAGGCACCCCATGTTATCATCTTGTCTTGACCTATAGCCCTGCAACAAGAACTCTATACTCCAGAGTGGACCTTCAAATTTATGAAATTGTGAAGATCGGTATCGGATAAGTACTCGATACTTGACGCCAAATTGAAATCAGAAGTGGTACATACATTAGGCACATGAAACGTTTCCTTTCAAACGACAACTTTAGTTTATACACATCACCCTCCCTTCCCTCCCCAGGCTACGCTGTCCGGGCCCTGTGCGAGGCTAAAATTTATGACTGTGGTCTGGTATCTAGTCTAGGATTGATAAACCTGATCTAACCTAGTATCTTGGCTATTACATCCCGAAACCACGATATATATATATAATAATTATTATGATCGCCCTCCCTGGCTTCGCGCCACTTAAACGAATGAGAGATTGCAGCTGAGCCCACCTAGATTTCTTCCGGCTCAGCGCTGCCAGAGATGCGCCAATAGCGTAATATTAAAGTAGTCCTTCAAATTTTCCATGGCCGTCAGCGCCCCTTGTAGAACCTTGGGGACTCGCCTGACTGACTGATGGATTAGGAAGAGCTGTTGGTCGTCGAGGCTCTTGCTTTGTCATCAAGGTGCCCAGGGCGATGACCCAAGTGTCTGAAATCTGTCTGTGGGGACGTTTCCCTCGTACTCAGTGGTGCTGTCATGGTGACCGTTTTCCACAAAGCTCGGCCTTCTCGGCACCACGCACTGATCAGTGCAACAGACTACAGTGGTGATCTGTACGTACGACCTAACGTCTTTGCACCATGCTGTGCCGTGTGGTGTCTTCTCCATCGCCATGGGAGTGCCTGTTCCCTTCTTCCTGGGTTGAGAAGGAAGCGGTGCTTTGCCGAAATTCCCCTTTTGGGACAGAGGTACGATGATGATTACGATTGGGCATTCATGGCGTAAATTTTTTCTCTCCGCAGGGAATCCTCGGAAGACCAAGGCGTAAAAGCAAGCCCCGAGACGTTCTCGACAAGCTTCCCGAAGCCACCATCAGCTTCCATCGAGAGCTTTCATGTTGCTACTCCTATCATGCAGTTACAAGTTACCTAAAAATGTAAACCTAAATAAATTTTCCCGTTAACAGCTCCGGCTACTCTCTCGACACCTGCCCGACACCTGCCATAGGACCGGCTGGCTCCAGTCCTATGGGCAGAACCTCGTCTACATCATCTGGTGGACAGTGGTGGGATGTGCCATACTTGACTCGGGCCTCAACGATATGGTGGGTGCTTGACTTTCTTTGAGATATGCAAGGTTTTATCTTTTGAAGCTTTCTCGAAGTGTCTGTAATCTTTTCTGAGTATAGGCTTCCTCATACTGCTGCCATATGTCATAGCTATTCACAAAAGTTTAGCATCAATATTCTAAAATGGCAGTGCTTTTACCGTGCGTGTGGGCTTTGCTTCCTAACGTTAAGACAGGTAAGGCAGTCCTCACTCGTGAATACAGTTAAGTGGCAACTAAGGTATAGAAACCAGACATCTTGCTACTTTGTGAAGGGCTGGTAATTAAGGTGAGGTGAGCAGAGAGAGAGTCAGAGCTGATCAGGAATATACCGGAATACAGTGCGGAGGATGACGAAATGGAGGAGTGCTGGGAGGAAGTTGAAATCAGCAAAAGATGGTTGGAGGAAAACAGGATAAGTAGAAACGAAAAGATGATTGGCTTTCTCACTATAACAGGCATAAATAATTCCGAATAACGAAAGATCACCCCCGATAAAAAAAGAAGACAGTCTTGTCAAGTGCACGTCTACAGTGAGCCGCTCAAGACATTTTAAAAAATGGGAGATGTTCATGGCTAGAAAGCCGGTCGAATGTCATTGTTGCAAAGAGCCAGGTCACATTGCGATCGGTTACCGTAAGCCTAAAAAGTGCCACCATGTCCACGAAGTGAATGATGATGAGTGGGCGAAGCTTCGGAGGTAAACTTGGTAAACCATGAATCCTCCATACATTTCGCTCACTCGATTTTATTACAACGCTCCCCCTAGCGTACGTCCCCGCACTAAATCGAACGAAAGCCTTCCACCAATGACACGCACCATGTGTGACATCATTCATATTTTACAACATCTCGCATCTTTCACCATCAACTACAAGTACCGCCGTCTAGTTTATAACATCTTGCGCTATTTCATGGATGGATGAATGGATGGATGGATGGATGGATGGATGGATGGATGGATGGATGGATGGATGGATGGATGGATGGATGGATGGATGGATGGATGGATGGATGGATGGATGGATGGATGGATGGATGGATGGATGGATGGATGGATGGATGGTTGGATGGATATGGCTATAGCCTTTAGATCAGGCGGTGGCTAACGCCAACAAGCCGTACTACTTGGTGAACCAAAAACTAGATTTATTTTTTTTTCGTTTAAACAGTGAGGTTGAGGACTTCTACTTTGCAGTGAAGGGTTTACTTTTCACTCGTGCCTTGACTTTAGCCACCAATCAGATAACCTCCCTCTAGTTATTTCTACCCACTTAAAGTCTATTTTGTCCTCCCTGTCCCTAAGCCCCAGTGCTTTGATAAACTCTTCGCCATTAACCTGAACTATAGGGTGAAGCCCTTTACAGAACATTATCAAGTGTTCGGCAGTTTCCTCTTCCTCTCCACACGCACTGCATACTGTGTCTACCCCTTTGTATTTGGCCCGATAAGTCTTGGTTCGCAATGCTCCCATCCTGGCCTCAAATAGTTGACAACTACCACGAGTATTATCATAGATCTTTTTCTTGGCAATTTCCTGCTTAAAAGCTCGATAGATCTCTAGTGCGGACTCCTTAACCATGCCGATTCCTCACATATTGGTCTCAGCTTCCTTCACCATCTTCTTAACCGATAATTCTTTATGGTTTGGCCCCCTGCTGTTTTCTAAGTATTTACCAGTCAATTTTCCGGTTCGCTTCCTCCATTTTGCATCGACATTCTTCATGTACAAGTCGCTGAATACCTTCCTAGCCCAACGCGCCTCCCCCATTTCTCTAAATCGCTTCTGAAATTTTATATTGCTGCTAGCTTCCCTGCCCTCAAATGATGTCCATGCCATATTACCTTGTACTCCCTGATTTGGTGTATTCCCGTGAGCTCCTAAGGCAAGCCTATCTATTCTACGTTGCTTAATTTCTAATCTTGCTTGAACTTCTGATCTCATGCACAAGACCGCATTGCCGAACGTCAGACCAGGAACCAAGACCCCTTTCCATATTCCTCTCACAACGTCACACCTATTGCAATTCCAGAGTGCCCCGTTTTTCATCACCGCTGCATTCCTGTTACCTTTAGTCGTCACGTATATTTTGTGTTCCCTTAGGTACTCGGCCCCATTGCTTATTCATACGCCCAGATATTTGCATTTATCTGTTATCTCTAGCGTGACCACCTGTATACTGAGCTCACTACCTTCATTATCATTAAAAAGATGACTGCTGATTTTCCTTACTGAATCTGAAATCTAACCTATCTCCCTCATTACGCAGATGTCCATCAATCTCAGCAAATCTTCCATGTGGTCGGCCATTAGCACTATATCATCTGCGTACATCAATGCTGGTAGTGCCTGTTCAATGAGTTTTCCTTGTTTGATGAAAGAGAGATTGAAGCCCAGTCCACTTCCCTCTAATTTGGCATCTAATCCTTGTAGGTACGTCATGAATAACAAGGGTGGCAGAGGACACCCCTGCCTAAGCCCCGTTTTACTTCTGTAGGCTTGGATACCTGTTTTTCCCACTTTATAACTGCCTTGTCACCTTTATGGATATTCTTTAATAGATTAGTAACTGCATCTTCCACACCCAGTGTGTGCAGTATTCCCAACAAGTCCTCTTGAACCACGCTATCGTAAGCTTCCTTAATATCCAAAAATGCTAGCCACAGGGGCCTCTGTTCTTTTTCCGCTATTTCGATGCACTGTGTCAGTGCCAACAGATTGTCTTCCAACCTTCTGTGTTTCCGAAGCCCATTCTGCAGTTCCGCCAGCACCCCCTCATCCTCTATTCATGCCTGCAGTCTTTCCTGTATAATCTGCATCGCCAGCCTGTAGACCACTGATGTCACTGTTTTAGGAAGGTAGCTGTTTATGTTAGCTTTGTCCCCCTTTCCTTTATAGATCATGCTCATCTTGCTAAGTTTCCATTCATCGGGGACTTCACCATCGATTATTATTTCGCTCACTGCCTCTCTCAAAGCCTGCTTAGACTTCGGACCTAACGTCCTTATTAGCATAATAGGAATGCCATCTGGGCTGTTGATGTAATACTAGGAACCCTCTTTGAGCCCTTTCCTACTCTCGCTGTGAAAATGAAGCCATTGCGCCTGTTGATTCATACTTGTCTATTGCGATGCCTAGAGCACTTCTTTGTTGAAATTTTTCTGTCACCCTTGTTCTTATGTATTCAATAGCTTCGCCCTCTTCTAGCCTAGCACCTTGAGCTGCAGATATAAACCTCTGCTCTCGGATCGTCTCATTTCTTAGGGAAATTAGATGGTTCCAAAATTTCGCAGCTGCCTTTCTATCTTTTTGTGTACTTCTGCCGGCCACTGAGCTTCCTTTCTTCTAATCTTTTCATTAATCAGAAGGGATGCATCCCTTCTGCAGCTTAGAAATATTTTCCATTTTCTTTCAAACTCATTTCGGTTCACCCGCTGCTTAGCATGTCTGTGTTCTCTAGAGGCTTCCTGACGTTTTGCTATGGCTCTATTAACCTTTTCATCGCACCAACTCTTGGGTTTGCATTTTCTTTTCTGGGGTGACTTGTCACGTGCCTTAGCAAGGTCTAGCTCAAACAGTTTAATTAGATTTGTGTATGTGCACACTGTTTTATTATCCTCAGTGATTACTTTACCAATTTCTTTAGTAGCTATTTCTATTTGCCTTTCCGAATAAAGATTTTTCAGTAATTGCTCATCTTGTCTCCTTCCCACTTTCACTGCTCTTCCAAAACTTAGCTTGATACGTTTGTGATCACTACCCATCCTACTGGAGCCACCTACATTCATGTTCATTCCCCTGAGCTTATCATACATCCTATGTGACCCCACTGCGTAATCTATTGTCGACTGCAGCCTTCCTCCCTCCTTTGATATTTGCCCTTCACACTTCTCGGTACTTTTCTAAGTGATCAAATCATGTCTTTCACACATATCCATGATCATTTTGCCCATTGGGTCGGTATGCCTATCTATATCTTCTACGTGCGCATTCATATATCCTCATATAATAATTTCGCACTCTTCTCCTAACTCTTCATTGTCGTTTCATATACATTCTGCCTGGTTTTCCTCTCTGGCCTTTGCTCCCGTCCACAAGTACACCACACCAAGGAGTGTCATTTGCCCTGCCACTTTCCCTTTTAGCCATAAATGTTCCTTGCACACCTGCTTCACTCTTTGCCAGTCTGTACATTTATGAATGAATGCCCCAATACCATCCCCCTTTCTGCTGCCTTCTGTTCAATTACAATATTCCCACGCGTAGATTGGATTGTTAGGAGGTTGTTCCATGTCCCTAAAATGTGTTTCTACAAAACAGTATACCATCGGCCTCTCCTCTATTAGCTGTTCTTCTATATCTTCCCACTTCAGCCTGTTCCTGCCACCTTGCATGTTAATATACCGTATGTCTGAATTGGCTCGGCGCTCGTGGCTACGTCTATTTCTGCCCCGGACTCTACCTATCTTATATACTGGTGCCACTTCGAAATATTATCTGTCCATACCACCTGTCAAAGAGTCTCCCTGCTTGTTTTCCTCGTTACTAGCTATCCTGCACCCCGAGTGTCCCACGTGCCCCCCCCCCCCAAAGCTACAGCGCGTCGTGCAAGTCCCCAACGCACCTCATGACCTAGCCGCTCATCGAAGTGAATTCTGTCTCGTTGAAAACCACCCCACCTATGCGCCTCTTACACTCTCTTTGATTGCTTCTGCCCATCGATTTAAATTCGAGTCCCCAGCGATTATCACATGCTGTGGCTTTTCAGCGTCCTGTACCTGGGGGCTACTTGCACTTGTGACGTCGGCTGGTTTGTCCCCTCCCAGCTCCACCACTAATTCGCTGAAGTTGGGCCTTGCGACAATTGAACCGGCTGAACCTGTTCTTTCTAAACTTGCTAGCTCTTTCTTCTCCGCCATTCTGGTGGCCGGTGCCCAACTGTTCTCTCCGTGGGCTGCTCCTTTGTTCACCTTGGCTAGTGATTACTCAGCGGATAT